ATAATATTAACATCTAAGGAATTTGTGGTATTATCTTCTTTTCTATTTTAATTTTTTTGGATGACTGAATAGAGGTATTGAGAGGTTAAGTGATAAAGTGAGCAAAGCTTGATTTAAACTGGGTGTCTAACCAACTTCTTAGTTCATGGAACACATTATTTTTTATTAAATTTCTACAGAAACTACTACTTCCTGTCCCATTGTACCTTTGGGGAAGCATTCTCTTTTTAGTAAAGATTGAGAAGCCATCACATTTTATTATCACTATGCATTCTATAGTGAAAGCAGTGCAGTAGACTTAGTAACAAGCACAATGAATTTTATTTTGAAAATACTGTAATTCACATAGGAGAACGTGGTTTACAGATTTCTGAATCTGTCCGTTGTAAGTATAGTGCTCAGAAATGCCTTGGATGTAGGACGCATTTGGTGTTCAGTATTGTGAGGCACTAATCAGCTAAGTACCATAATCCTCCTTGCAGGGTACATTCTTACTTGACCTGGAGCTATATACAGCCACATAGTAACAGCATTAAAGAATAACTTTTTTCTTAACAGGCCCATCACTAGGGGATTTTATGACTCCATCCGTGAATGAGTGTTGTTTTATGTGTAACTTTTTAGTAATTGAGTTTTGAAGTAAAATGATTGCAAGCAAGTAGAGACTTTCAAATCATCTGATTAAGGATGGCTCCTATGATTTTGCTAGAGCTAGAAGGATTAAATGAAAGCACTGCCTGGCACAGTGCTGATGTATTTTTGTCAACATGATGCTTCATGCTCGACAGATGTGCATTGTTTGAGCAAAAGGTAAAACTATAAAAATATGTTAAATATTGTGATATTTAAAAAAAGATCTTATTTTTTTGATGAATATAAATTGTTTGATTTGTTAAAAGATTTTGTAGGAGTTGTAGGAATGGAGCTTATATATTTCATGTTTTACAGGATCATACACTTCTGTTAAATCCTTGATTTAATGTGTCTTGATAACTTCAAATTTCAGAATTTGATTGCAGTGTTATGTTTAAACTATATGGTTAGCATTACGTAATTGAGTTAATGAAGTATCATTTTAATTTATTTAGCAATATCCATGCTTTATAAAGCTTTTAAAAAAGTGGAGGCTTTTTTTTTCAGATTATTGATTCTTCAAGTGTGATTTCTATTCTTTTATTTATAAAATGCCATTTATTTAATGATCTTTACTAATAAAGATTATGAGTAAAAGATTTTCATATAGGTAGTGCTTAATTGTAATAACATAAATTTGAATCTGTAGAATTAGTAATCTTTAAATTCTTCACTCTATTTTCAGTGTCATTATGATTCTTAAAAATTGTATAGGTGTTATTAAAAATATATGAATATTAAAACTTAACTTCCATGTAACCTTTCACTGTCCTTATAAATGTTTTCAAATGTTTACTGGATTATGTTTTCAGAGACTGGATGATTATTTTATAGTATATATGGTCAGTATTGTAAGTGGTATAACACAAACCACATAGGATGGTAAAGCTTGTAAATATTAAGATAGAAACTATGGTAAAAATGTGATGAATTAGTATACAACGTTTAAATTGAGACTGCCTTTAGTAAATTGTGAAAGTGACTATAATTGGGGAAAAACTCTCTTTATTTGGAGTTTTCCTATCAGTCAGTTTTATTTTTAGACGTAGCATTTTGAAGAGACTATTGGTAGTTTCTTACTCAAACTCTTATGCCTATTTACAATAACATTTATAATGGAGTGTCGGGTGTGAATATATAGCTAGAATATTTAAAAATAGGTTGAATTGTTAGTCCATATGACAAAAAATTATAAGTAATGAACAGAAATGCTACTTATTAAAGTCAATTTAGGGTATTTCTGTATGTGAGTTTTTATAAACTGGCTCCAGTTAAGACCACTATAATATGGTGAAAGAGAAAATGATTGTAACAACCTACCTTTCAATTAAGAGAAGCAAGATGAACAGATATTAGGTAAATATAAAGTGGAGATAAATCTATGCTGATATTGTTCTATCAGAAATAGGGATTGGCTGAGGTAAAGGAGTAAGATTAAGGCGCTGTACAAAGTCACACATACATTTTATTCTAAAGAGAGGCATAATTTTGGATTCTATTTCTTAATTTCTCAGAGTCTTTGAAGGATTAAGTGAAATATAACATCTTAGATGAATTGCTCCATTCTTTTGAATTGCAACCTATGGGTTAAGTACTGTTATATGCTTTAGGATTGTTTAGAGTAGAGAAGTGTAAAAATTATCTTTAAGTCCTTTTGCCTATTAAACGTTTTCCAGCTGATAATAATAAATGCTAAGGCTTGTTTATAAAGGCCAGTAATGAAGATAGAGATTAGAGTTATAGTACTTGAATTTTCATGGATTTTCTACAGTTCCTGGAAAAACGTAGTGTCTAAGAAATATAACAGCTTTAATTTAAAGGAGAGTATATATGAAATAATCCATGATACAGTTGGTAAAAATTGTTTTGACGTAATATTTTGGAGTAATTGGTAGCAGATTCTTCATTGTTTGGTAAGAGTATTCTTAGAATAACTCTTGCCTTGCTTCTAGCATAGCTTTAATATACTATAAGTACTATACCTTAAAGTGTATTTTTAAAAACCTAATTCTATGTTAAGTAACAATGACAATTGTCATCCCAATTTTAGAAATCATGATCACTGTTCTATTTTTACTTAAATCCAGTACAAATCAGCATCTACAGTATGATTCACACGCTTCAGGCAAATTCATAATCTCTAGAACAAAGTTGATTGCTGGATTTGATATTGAATTTTATTTTCCTAAGTTATGATTTTTAAAAAGCACTTAGATGGCTTGCTAAGGAGTAGTTAGTAATAGACTTTCTTTTGCAACTGAAGTCTATAATTAAATATTCTTATTTATCAATAAAATAGAATATATTTCCTGTGTTATAAAGGCTTACTATGTTCACTTTGTTTATACCTACTTACTTTCAAAAACTTAGGTTAATTCCTCAGGGAATGAAGTGTTTCTTTTTTCCCCTTGCCTCTGTCCTATAGTACTCAGTGTGATGTTAAATACATTAGTAGATATCCCTAATTTACAGAGATTTTTTCTAAATGTTTATTTGTAAAGTGATTGACACTCAAAATACATTTTGTCAAAGAGTCATTTTATAAACAATGGTTGGATTCTAAAGCCCAACAACAAAAGCGAAATTAACATATAATAGAGCTAAATTACACCACTAAAACAAGTAGTTCCTTCCTTTCACTTAAGGTACTGTTACTGCCATGACAGCAGTTGGGGAACGAGAAGGACTGGACTATTTTAGCAAATCAGTGGGTTTGAGTATAGAAGAAAAGAGCAAGCCATGAAAAGTAGAGATATGCTAAAGGATAATTAACCAGTTCTTTAATTCAACAGATGTTTATTGAGCACCTACTGTGTGCCAGCCTCCTTAGATCCAGGTTGCCCATCCTCATGAAACTTAACATTTTAGAGTGTTATAGTCATTCCTGGATAGAAAGAGATAAGATTACCTAGGAAAGAAGTGCAGTGAGGAAGAAGGCCATTGTTAGGTTTGAACTGCCTTCAAAATATCCAATTTCTCCCTTAACATTTTGTGAAGATTCTTACTTCAATTTCTTATATGACCTTACATTCCGCATTTTAGAGATTAATTTATATTAACAATCTTAAGTATTTTTGATAATATTATAAAACCATCCATCCATTCTGATTTAATCTGCTTATTTTTCTTTTGACTCCCAGCTGAAACTAAGTATAATGGGGAATTGGAATTTACCCAGTTTGGGATCATGAAATCTTTTGAAAGGGAAGGATATGTGAAAAAGCTTTAGGTAGGTTCTAGAGAGGAACTACCTTGGAAAATCCTCGATTTAATAAAACAATAATTAAGAATTCAGTAGATTTATATTTTATAAAATAGCTTTGAGTAAAAAAAGAAAGAAAAGAGAATAGCAACTTAATGAGAATACGCAAAATATTTCCTCTACTGTATATTTTATATAAGTGGATTATACTCCATATAACTACATTATTCAGGTCTTAGTTCAAATGTACCCTTTCAGAAAGACCTTCTTTATCAAAAGTAGGTTTCCTCAGTCGCTTTTCATAATTTTACCATTTCAAATTTCTTTCATAGTACTTATCACTATATGAAATTACCTTATTTGCTTATATGCTTTCTGTCTGTCTCCCTCACTAGAAAGAAAACTTCTTGAGGGCAGGGACCTTATGTGTCTTTTCTCTGTTATATTCCCAGCAACCAAAATCATATCTGGCATATAGTAAGCCCTAAATAAATATTTGTTGAATGAATGAATAGATACTAGAGCTACAAAAGTGTATTAGACGCATTCCTTCCTGCCTCAAAATTTAAAGTCTACTGGGACAGTACAGAATGCTAACTAGGTAACTGTAAATAGGATGAGTAGTATTGTGCTGGGGAAATACAAAGGCACAAAAGTGAGAGTTGTTGAGCTATCTTACTGGTCTATGGGAATGAGGTAATACTGCTTTCATTTAACAAATCACATTTTACCTCCTTTTTCTGTTTCCAAAATTTATATACTTATATATAGTTATAAAACTTGCTATTGAGTCCACACTGAATTTTAGGGAAATTAGAATGTATTTAATTAAACAATCTCTAAATGAAATTTTTAAAAAATTTGTAACTTTTAAAAAAATTTTAAAATATTCTCTAATTTCAGGGCATAAGTATACTCCATATAAAGTGTGTCAGGCATGTAATAACCATATCAAAAATACCTTTTCAATTTCGTATTTGAACCGAATAAACTGAAACTTTCAGTAAAACTTTTGTTTTGGCATGACTTTATAATAAAATTTTAAAAAAAGAAGCAAAAGAACTATTTGAATTTATCCATCAAATTCAACCCACCAGTCAATCAATAAAATGTAAAATTGTTTAAATGTTGCTTTTCTTATCATTCTTTTTCTTTGGTTACTTAGGAAAAGAAGTCCATCAGTGTCCAGAGATCAGAATAGAAGATACGACCAAAGGGAAGAAAGAGAGGAATATTCACAGTATGCTACTTCGGATAGCGCGATGCCTAGATCTCCGTCAGATTATGCTGATAGGAGGTCTCAACATGAACCTCAATTTTATGAAGAATCTGATAATATAAATTACAGGGACTCCAACAGGAGAAGTCATAGGCATTCGAAAGAATATATTGCAGATGATGAGGATGTAGAGAGCAGAGATGAATATGAAAGACAAAGGAGAGAAGAGGAATACCAGGCACGCTATCGAAGTGATCCGAATTTGGCCCGTTATCCAGTAAAGCCACAGCCCTATGAAGAACAAATGCGTATTCATGCTGAAGTGTCTCGAGCAAGGCATGAGAGAAGGCATAGTGATGTTTCTTTGGCAAATGCTGAACTGGAGGATTCCAGGATTTCTATGCTAAGGATGGAACGACCATCAAGGCAAAGATCTATATCTGAACGTAGAGCTGCCTTGGAAAATCAGCGATCTTATTCAATGGAAAGAACTCGAGAGGCTCAGGGACCAAGTTCTTATCCACAAAGGACCACAAACCATAGTCCTCCTACCCCCCGGAGGAGTCCAATACCCATTGATAGACCAGACCTGAGACGTACTGACTCACTAAGGAAACAACACCACTTAGATCCTAGCTCAGCTGTAAGGAAAACAAAACGGGAAAAGATGGAAACAATGTTAAGGAATGATTCTCTTAGTTCCGACCAGTCAGAGTCCGTGAGACCTCCACCACCAAAGCCTCATAAATCAAAGAAAGGGGGTAAAATGCGCCAGGTTTCACTGAGCAGTTCAGAGGAGGAATTGGCTTCCACACCTGAATATACAAGTTGTGATGACGTTGAGATTGAAAGTGAGAGTGTAAGTGAAAAAGGTAAGCACTATATTCTAATCACACATTTCCCTGTAATTGATTAGATAGGGTTTTCTTTTTAGGTTGCATTTCTGAGTAAACATTTAATAGATATTACTACCTTTATTTTGAAAGTTTTTTAATGATGCTGATTTGTGAAGAAATTTCAAGTTATAAAAAGTGAATATCTTCTGTTGTTCTGGCAGAAGAAAAGTCTATTGATTTAAAAAAAATTTCTTTTGCTTTGTTTCTGAAAATTTTCTTGCATCATTTGATGGCATATTTTAAAAATACCTATTAGCCATAGTTGTAAATTTACTTTTTTGTGTTTTCTTTAAAAGTAACAATATGTTTACTATAGAACATCTGAAAAATTCCTCAAGGTGTAAAGAATGAAATACAAGCTATCTGTAATCCTTTCCCTCAAATATAACCATTGTTAACATTTTGTTGTGTTTTCTTCCCTTTTTCCTATGCATATATATTTTATAGATTTATAAATTTGGTATCATACAATAAGTAATATTGTATTCTTGTTTTTTCAATTGCTATCATATCATTAGCTTTTTTCCAAGCCATTAGATGTTCTTCAGAAATATGTTTTAAATGGCTGCACTAAGATTCTACCATAAGGATGTATCACAAGCTAACTATTCCTTTATTTGGGGGCATTGCAGTTGCTTCCAATTACTAGTATAAATAATATTATAATAGTTATCTTAATACATATTTTTTTGCCTATATCTCTGAGTATTTCACAAATACGTATTTGTGCTTTGATTCTTTTAAGCTTTTAATTCAGAGTACCAACCTGCTTTCCAGAGAGGTTATAATACTCTATACTCCTATTAGATGTGCTTGAGCTTTCAGTCTTTTTTTCTTTTTTTTACTGAGGAAAATTGGCCCTGAGCTAACATCTGTTGCCAATCTCCCTCTTTTTGCTTGAGGAAGATACACCCTGAGCTAACATCTGTGCCAATATTCCTCTATTTTGTATGTGTGTTGCTGCCACAGCATGGCTGCTGACGAGTGGTGTAGGTCCACACCCAGGAACCAAACTGGGGCCACTGAAGAGGAGTGTGCCAAATTTAACCACTAGGCCATGGGGCTGACCGCCATAAGCTTTCAGTCTTTTTTTCTTTTTTCTTTTTTTTTTTTAAAGGTATACTCTTTTTTGGTGAGGAAGATTGGCTCTGAGCTAACATCTGTTGCCAATCTTCCTCTTTTTTTTCTCCTTCCCAAAGCCCCAATACACAGTTGTGTATCCTAGTTGTAAGTCCTTCTAGTTCTTCTATGTGGGATGATGCCACAGCATGGCTTGATGAGTGGTGTGTAGGTCCATGCCCAGGATCCGAACTGGTGAGCCCGGGGCTGCCGAAGTAGAGCATGAGAACTTAACCGCTATGCCACTGGGCTGGCCACATAAGCTTTCAGTCTTGATATGCCAAATCTTTGTCAGTTGAATAGACCACAAAAAATACTCTCTTTGTCCTTTTTATTTCAATTTGATTGTGTAGTTGAATGTTTTGTATGTTTATTGGTGTTTGATATCTTTTTTTATATGAATTATCTGTTCCTTTTGTTGCTTCTGCCCATGTTCTTACTGGGTATTAATTAGTATTTCCTCATATTGATTTATGAGCTTTTCATATGGTTAAGATTTTACCCATTCAACTGTCATTTGTTCCAAATGTATTTCCCATTTTGATGTTTACCTACTAATTTTTTTTGGTCATTTGGAACTGTTGAATTTAATATAGCTAAGTCTTTGCATCTTTGCTGATTTTTTCCCATTCCTTTTATCCTTAGAAACTCTCTATTCATCCCCAAAACAGTTAAATACTTAACGGTATATTTTCTCATATTTTTATTATTTACTCTTTTAACTTTTTAATCTTTCTGTAATGTATTTTGGTGTATGTCAAAATAGACCAGAAAGGTGAGTATCTAACATGAACCCCTTGTGCCAATGCCCTCCCACCACCAATTTTCGGATACTATTTGATGAATAATAGATTTCTTGTTCCTAAGAATCAACAGGAATCAATAAAAGAATTCAAGAAGGCAGCTAGGTATGAAATTAATACAGAATCATTTTATATTGCACAAAAAATAATTAGTTAGAAAATATAAATGAAAGGCAGTTCCTATTCTGAGCTAAAAACAGAAAATGTGATTTTAAAATAGCTAAAAAGAAAGGAGTGCCTACATGAAGAAAGCTACAAAACTTTACTGAGTAATATAAAGGAAGATGTGAGTAGAGATTCATTTCATGTTCCTAAATTGAGGAGGCTAAATACTGTAAAGATGCAGGTTCTTTCCAAACAATCTCTTGGGGTTAATATTCTAATCATAATCCCAGTTGGTTCCTTGGAGTATCCTATTTTTACAGTTAATCTGGAAGGTATAGAGGAAGAAAAAGCTTAACTCTTTTTTTCTCTCTGTGTATTTTAGGTTCATTGGCTGGGACCCTTGTAAATTAGACTGACAAAAGACAGATTAACAAGAGAAAAAGAAGCATGTTTTTATTATCGGGTACATTGCACATGCATATGGGAGCACTCAGCTATGAGAAACTCAAAGGGGTGGTTAGAATTTGGGCTTTTATAGTATTTTAACAACAGAGCAATAACTTTTTAGAGAGAAGACGAGACAAAGGCAAAGGACTTCAAGCTTCTAGGGCAGCAAATTGTGGGAAGGTAAACGCAGAGGGGAACTAATGGAAGATAAGGGCTAGCTAGTAAAGTTTGTTATGTACACTTTGCTGGAGCCGTCTCTGGGCTGAGAAAGAGTAATTAACTTCTGTCCTTCCTAGTAGAGACAGCAGGGGGGACACCTTTAAAAATTTGTGTCCTGTTTTCAGGCAAACAGGAGGAGGGCAGAGGGCTTTTATTGTGACTGCTTCTTCTCAATTGCCTTCAGCTCAAAATAATCCTTATGCCAAAGTGGCATATTAAAACAAATAAATGATAAAATCATGGAAAGCACCGCAAACCAAGAGGAAAGAGATAAATTATTCAACAAATGGCTTGGGGAAAATGTGTATACAATTTTAAAAATCATATTACAGCTTCATTTCATACAAATTGCATTTAAATTATAAATAAGAAAATTGTTTATTAAAGTATAAAGATTATAAAGAGAATCTGTAGATCTTAATATTATCATGGAGCATATAGAAAATTTATTTCCGAGAAGGTATAATACTTCCTCAAGTGTATTTAATAATCTCCAGTTTGGTCATTGTTCGTATTTGTCTGAGTGTATCATGGTACTAAAATGTAAGAGAAAGAGAGTTTCGTTATCCTTAGTGGTTTGGTTTAGATTCTGTTACGTACTTCTGTTATTCTTTGCTAAAATAATGCCTTCACTTTTACCTTGTCAAGATGTAAAAAAACAAACAGAAATGCATCAAACCAATGCTTGAAAGCTTTTTATATGTGGTATCTTTCCAAGGGCTTATACTTTGTTTCAGGATTTTGAAGCATACACTTATAAAAATCTCATGTAATTAAAAAGCTGTCTATGAGATATTAAAATCCAATGTAATACTATTTAGCAGAACTAAAACTTTGATCAAATATGGGAAGAAACTACATGTCACGTTTGTATTCTCCCCTAACTTGAACTCCTAGTAGACACTCTTAGAGAAGGCCCTCTTTCTCATCTATCTAATAATTTGTTTTACAGAGTACGGTTTCTGCCAACATGTATTTCCAGTGGACAATCATAATTTAATTCAGCTTTGGAGGAAGAAATCGACATAAAATAACCTTTTCCTGTTTGATATTACCCCCAATAGTAGTATTCAGTGAGGAGAAGTAGCTGTTGAGAGACTGGAATAATATGGGAAAGAGATTAAATTGTGTCATATTTTGACTTTTCATCATTAGAATAGCATTTTTGATACTTGTGGGAAAAGTGTCAATCTGATTTGGGAATAGGTGCTTTAAAAGTTATCTAACATTGAGATTCATAGCCATCCTTGGTAGTTAACTAGTGTTTGAAAATTCTTCGTAATAATTAAAGAACTTTTATTAGTGGCATTTTTTCCTGTATATTTATATGTGGATACATCATTCTGATGAGAATCAACCAACTTTTAAAAGATAGTCATCCTTTTGCTTTATTACCCCTCGACTAAATAACTTCAAAGAGTATGTTTTACAACTGAGACATATTTCTCATTATCTTTACTTTTCTGTGCCTTTTCATTCTTGTATACGACCTTTCAAAAATTTGCAAAACCAAATTTGGATCAAGTAATCCAAAGTGTTAACCAACAGTGTATAAACAGCACCAGACAACATTATCAGCACAGAAGGATCCTTTGCAGGTCCTTGTATGTTATAGCATAGCTCCTACTACATACCAGAATCTTTCCTGATCTTTAAGTAATAAAATTCCATTGATAATCCACAGCGAGCTTATAGTTTACTTAAATTTTTTTTCTCTGCTGGCCTATTGGCTAGTCTTTTTTTTTTAATCTTCAGCTTTATTGGTGCTTTGGCTTTTCTCTTATTCATTTGTCAATTTGGATAGATCTTATTATTTTAAATACATAGAATTTCTCCCAAATTTATAGTAGATGTCATTTTGCTCAATATGTTCTGTTAAATGATGCTGATAATACAGTCTATGAGTGACTGGATCATTATTTGTGTAACAATAACAGGGAGGTTTTATGGGAAGAGCATGGGTTTTGGAGTTAAAGAGAAGCTCAAATACTGCCTGTGCCATTCACTAACTGCATGATTTTGTCCTACTGTTTAACTACTCTGGGTCTCTTTCCTTATCTATAAATAAGATAGTATGTTCATTGTTTGGTAATTGTAGGGATCAGTGAATATATACTTGTCAAACATTAGGTATTAAAACATTTTTAGGTTAATTATTTAATGTTCTGTGATAGTCAAGACTTCTACAAGACAACCTTCAACAGTTTTGAATGAAAGTATAGTCATGGTCACATGGATTGTGGTCATTTGTGTTGGTTTCACCTCTTCCAGGATCTGCCTCAT